CGGGGTCCAGAGGGGGGACCGTGTGCCCTGGCCCCGCCGCCCTTCCGGCCATCCCTCGGGCAGAGCTGTGTCCGGCCGGCGCCCCGGGCCCCCTCCCCGCGTACTCCCCTCCCCACGCCCCCTGGCCAAGAGGCCGAGTCGGAGCCTTAGTCCCGGGAGACAGGCCCAGTTGAAGGGCGGCCCCGGAGAGGAGACCCCGCGGCCCCGGGGACCCAGACTCCTGTCTCTTAGCCGGAGAGCGCGGGCGGCCCTCGAGTCCCCTCCCCGCAGCGCCGACAGTGAAGTCCCAGCCTTCCCTGGTCAGAGCGAGGACCGCCCCTGCTGTGGGGACAGTCGTCCTCATAAAAATAGTTCCACTGTTTCCGGGCCGAGTTTTCCACCCAGCCCATGAATAGGGTCCTTATGTCCCGTGGACACCAAGCCGAACCTCCTTTTCCGCTCCCACGGCCCCTCCCTGGCCCTGGGGAAGGAGAGGCAGAGCGTGGCCACCAGGAGGCGGTAGTGGGGACAGCAGCCTTGGGAGGGGCCCTGGCTGCAGGGGAAGCTGACTTGAGAGTGGCTGGTGGGGGATGCCCAGCCCCACGGAGCCTCCACGCTGGCATGCCCGTACCTCAGTCCCTGGAGCCCTGGGTGGGCCGAGGGTCGGCTTGAGATGCTCAGTGCCATTCCTGTGTTCAGGGACATGTGTGCCACATGTGTGTGATGGCTTTACACTCATGCTTCGCCCAGCACCCAGCAGCTCCATGTGCCTGAGGGACTCACAGTCCACCTTGGGCACCCCCAGAACCCCTGCTGCAGTCTGTCAGTTATACCCGCACCCCCTGGACAGATGGTGGCAAGCGTGGGGGGTGGTCTGTCCTCTTCACCTCTCACTGACTGGGTGCATTGGGAGGGGCGGGACGAGGTGGGTAGGTGGGGGTGGGAGGGCTGGCGTCTGGATGAAGGGCGGGCTCGGTGGCTGGGGGTGAGCGTACAGCTCACCACCCTCCCTCCAGAGGCAGCTGAGGACAGGGCCTAGTGTGTCCCCCAGACCACCCCAGGGGAGGAAGATTTGTACTGTGAGACAGGTGGCTGCCGTGGCCAGAGAGGAAGTCGCTGTGCGAGGCCACCTGGCTGCTTGTGGCAAAGCTGGGGCTCAAACCCCGAATCCTCGCCCCTCACCCTAACCGTGATTGCCTCTCAGGATCAACCACGGGTCAGGGAGGCGGCTGACTACATGGCAGTTACGCAGCCAAGACCCAGCATAGTCGGTCTAGCTGTGGTCACAGGCAGAGGGTAGGCAGTGGCCACAGTCACCCCTGAGTCAGGCCCACCCAGGACACGTTAGGTGGGGTCTGAGCAGTTACTACAGAGCAGAACCCAGAAGGAGTGTCCCCCAGTCCTCTGCTGACCGGCCCGTGGAAACCCAGCCTGCTTCCGCTCCGGCCAGGCATGGGGCTCCACCTGCTGCTGCCACACTGGGAAAACATGCCCGCCTCCTCCCAGGAGCTGCCGTCCCCACGCAAGGTGGGTAAGTTGTGTTTAGAGTGGAGAGTTATGTATGGGCGGCCGCCTGGGGCCCAAGGGTGCAAGCACAGGGATGACCAGTGCACACCTGTGCACATTTGCAGAGCACGGCAGCCACAGCACAGGGCTGCGGCCTCTGGCAGGTAGAGGGCCCCTCCTGCCTCAGTCTGTCCCTGTGTAAAATGGGGGCACCAACGTACCTGTAGGGGCAGGCCAGTCCTGCCAAGACCTCACAGCCTGCACCCCACTCACCCACGTCTGTAACCTTCTGGCCAGCAGGACCCAGGCTGCCCAGCCCACTGGCCATAGAGCTGATGGCCTTAGCAGTCGGGATAGGGGGTAGGCAGTTAGACTGGTAGCAGGTGGTGGCTGGGACTCTCTCAAGCCCCCAAACCATACCTCCGAGGGCAGGAGCTGCCCTTTTGCGGGTGGAGAGCCTGGGGGTAGCCCTCAGGAGGGACTTCTTTTTTTTTTTTTTTGTCTTTTTTCGTGACCAGCAACGGATCGCAACCCTCAGTGTCGCGCCCTTACCGGACCGGGACCGGCAACAGGATCGCAACCCTCGGTGTTGCTCCCACACCTCGCTCAGCCAGTGAGCGGGAACCGGTCTGTATGTGGGATCCGAACCCTCGGCGGGAGGGCCTCCGCGCTTCCCAAGCGGCGCACTGCAGCAGTGCACCACCGGGCCGGCCCTCAGGAGGGACTTCTTGCCAGCAAGCTCCTTAGGTGGGTGAGCTGCAGCACGGGGACAGCACTGACCATGGCTCAGCACCTGGGATGGGGGCTGCCCTCTCTGTTGTCACAGCTGCCAGGAGACCCGAGGATTAGAAAACATCCTCCTATCCCATTGCTGCTACCTGCCCCCACTTCCTCCAGCCCCCAGGGTAGGACCAGAAGGCCCCAGTCACATCTGACCAGTAAAGGACTGTCTGGCCGGGACTTGAGGGAGGGCATCCTTTTTCTGTGGACCTCTCTCCTCTGCTCTGAGCATGCGTGACTCAGGTGATGATGTGGCATGAGACCTGGGTCTGACCGATCAGATGGGCACGGGACACACCCAAGCCAGGACTTCCACAGAAGCCTCTCCCTTCTCCACCAGGATTGCTTCACAGGCGGGACGGACGCACAGAGCTGATGGAGGCACGCACCTGCCTGAGAATGGAGCTGCCACGGAGGTGCCCTGGAGGAAGTCTGCACGCACCCCACGCCTCCCAGCGGAGAGACCTGGCCACTCCCACACCCACCCCATGCCAGTCGCTGGGGCACATCGGTGCCTGTTCTGTGGTGGCTTGAGACCCTGCCTGACAGTGTTGTCGGTGCTTGGGACAGAGGGGGTCTCTGCATGATCGACAAGGAGGTCCCCAGGCCCAGGGAAGACACCCCCGGCCTGCCCTACCCCACCAGCTTCATAGCATCACAGCTGACGCACCAGGACCCTCCCAGGATCCAGCCTGGGGTCCCACAACATGCCAGCACCACAGTGTCCAGGATGGCCCTGGCCTGGGAGGGGACACCACCTGCCCCTCATCGCCCCTGGGGCCCAGCGGTCCCAAACCCTGGAGGGGTGAGCTGAAGGCTGCGCTCAGCAGGGTGGGGCCAAGGGAGCCGGGGGTGTCCACTTGTCCCTTCCCTTAGGTGTTCTTGACTTCTTTCAACGTAGTTATTAGGTCGTGACCACAGGGGCCCATGGTGTGCCAGGAACCGGGGATACCCCGTCCTACCCCGGCATCTCCTGCACCAGGGCTGGCAGGCTTGGGGAGGCAGGCGAGGGGACAGGCCTGGAAGAGAGGAGGGGTCGTCTGTCCTCATGGGCGCTGGGTGTGCACTCTGACCACCTCCTGCCCTCCTCGCCAGCTCCATGTGGGGTGTGGGCCATGGCACCAACCCTCAGCCCCCTGCAGCGCCCTCCCTTGCTCCTTGGCAGCTTCCTCCTCCAGAAGCTTCCTCAGGAGGAGGCATGGGTGCTCAGCCGTGATGCTGCCTGGACACCCTCTGACTTGGGTCCTGCAGGGAATGGGTCATCGCAGGCACAGGAAGGCCAGGGGCTCCTGCTCACTGCAAGCTGCCTGTTGGCTGGACCAGACCCTTTGGCCAGACCTGGCTCCCCAAGGCCGGGCCCTGCCACCGGCTCCTCTCCCCGTTGACTCGCTTTTGCAACCCTGTGATGCTGGGAGACGTGGGTTGCCCCAGTTTTAATTACCTTGGGAGAGCCCAGGCCCTTCCTGTTCAGCTGCTGAGCGGCTCTCCAGGGCGGTGCACGCATCCTTGTACTAGTCACATGGCCCACTCATGCAGGCCTATCCCCTTCAGAGGAAAATTGCTCAGCTGTGGAAGGCCTGGTGCCCCCCAGGCCTGTGCTGAGTCTGGGGGCTCTGACCGCTGGCCTGGAGGGGCATCTGCATCAGCATCAGCTAGTCCCACTTCTGAGTGTCAAGGTTGAAGAGGCACCTCAGCCCGGTTAGCACTTGAGGAAGCAGGCTCAGAGAGGTTGAGTAATTCTGGCCAGGCCACACAGCTATTGAGTGACAGAGCTGTGATTTGCACCCAGGCCTGGCTCTTCCCTGGTGTGACTTCCTTCTCCAGGGATGTCACCAGTGCTGCTGCCTCCTTCCAAAGCCATGAGGATGGTGAGCTCACCCCTGCCACGGCTCTGCCAGCTGGACCCAGTGGGTGGGGCTCCCTCCCTCATCCCAGCCCAGGTCCTCAGCACCATTGTGGGGTGGTGTGTCAGAAGCCCAGAGCCTGCCCTGGGGACGGGGACTAGGGCTTGAGCCCACCCCTCAAACCTGGGCCCAGGCTGAGGGTCTGGTACTTTGGGGTGGCGAGGCCACTGAGTCTCTCCCTGGGGACATGTAGGGTCCTCAAGTAGAGACAGGGGTGCAGATGGTCCCGGGAGTGGACACGCCTGGTCGTCTGGCCTTCAGCACACCATCTGGCCTCACACAGCCACATGTGAGCTGGGGGTTTCAGCCTGAGACACACCGTGATGTGGACCCTGTGTGAGGGGCATGGTCTTAGCATGTGTTGTGTGTCACCTTCATGGGTGATGTGTGTCTCATCCTGTGTGCTGTGTGGACTTAATGTGTGCTGTGGTCTTAGCATGTGCCGTGCTCTTAGTGTGTGGTATATGGTCTCAGCGTGGGACATGTCATCTTGGTGTGTGGTGTGGTCGGTGGTGGCCTCAGTGTCCAGAGGGGAAGACGATCCCTGTGCCCGCTCAGAGCTCCCAGCACCATCTCCACACTCACACCCCAGGTTGTTCTCACAATTAGTGCCTGTCCCGAAGGCTGGGCAGCTGGTCCAAAGGGACGCCTGGGTTCCAGGAGCAAAGCCCCCCCCCCAGTCTCCCGCAGCCACAGATACCTGTAGAGCTGGAAGTGGGAGCCAGGCGGGCGATGGCAAGTGGAGGTGAGAGGCTGGGACACCAGGCTCTGCCGGGAGCCCAGGTCTGACCTGAGATCTGAGTGCCAGGAACCAGTGAGGGCAGAAGGGGCATCCGAGGGAGTCTTGACCCAACACAGGCCTCTCCTTTCCCTCCAGAACATGTCCCCTCATGCCCAGCCAGGATCAGGGTCCCAGGCCTCACCTGCAGGGATTAGGGTCAGAAAGGCTCACCCAGCGGAGGGACCCCACATCTCTGCCCCACCAATAATCCCCTTTCTGGGTCCAGAGCAGGCGTGGCCGCCCCTGGCCAGCTTGGCTCCTCCCCTGCATCTCTGTCCCACGCCCAGCCGGCTTGTTATAAATAGGGGGTTACCCAGCCAGCCTGAGGCCACGTCCCACTGCCGCCACCCTGGCCACCTGCCACACTGTTGACAGGAGAATGGAGGCACCTGCACAGAGAAACTCCAGCCTCAAGGTACCAAGGGGGTGCTTGAGGGGGCTCTTGGGGTACTGTCAGGGGTGGGGAGCCCTTAGTGGCAATCAGGGCAGGTTGCCTCTGGGGGTCTCCCTAGCCCGAAGTGCAGGGGAGCTGTGTCCCACCTGAGGGTGCATAGTGTGTGCCTGAAGAACATTCCAGACATAGTGGGGGGCAGCACCCAGAGTGGGCACCAGTGATGGTGTGTGTCCATGCAGGACACAGTGTGAGCCACGCATGTTGACCACACTGCTGTGCTCGGAGGCAGGGAGGGGAGGCCAGCGTGGTCCTGTGTCTCGCACACGCAGGATGAGGGCCGCAGTGGCACACAGCGCACAGGCCAGGGCTCCTGCTCGTCCTGGTGGTGGTGGGCAGGGCTCCCGGTGCGTGTGAGTGCACACACGTGAATGTGTGCGTGTGTGCGCACGTGTGTGAGGTGGCTGCTCACTTCTAGTCCTGCCATGTCTGAGGCGTCGGCCTGTGAGGGCAGCTCCCATGCCCACGTTTACCCCATGAGTCTCGGGCTGTCTGTCCCAGGGGTCCGGGCCCTGCCCCTTCTCAGAGAAGCTCTTGGGGCTCTGGCTGGTCATCCAAGACCTCCTCTCCAGAGCTCCCCGCTCTACTGCCCTAGCAGTCCCAGCTAGGGCAGGAGGGGCTGCTCTGTCTACACGTCTAGACAGGAAGAGCAGCTACCGGAGTCAGGAAGAATCTTCTGAGCCCCCTTTGCCTCACCTGTAACACGCAGCATGAGCTTTTGGCCAGGCTGCCAGGAGGGATGCGGGGGCCCACACACCTGAGGTGGGAGCTGCCTGGCCTGCTCCGACACGCATGTTCCCAGACTCACTGGGGCAGCCTGCTCTGGCACACCTGGCTGGCACATCTAGCTGGGTTGCAGCAGATGCCCGCCCAGGCCTGGGCACAGGAGGAGCTAAGACTCAGCAGGGTGCCCCAGGCACGGGAAGGCTCCATGATTCAGACCAAGCTGGGGACAGTGTGGAAAGTCCTCAGAGATTACATGCATTGACTCAGCCCGTGTGTGGGGCCAGCAGGCCTGGCCTGGCCAGGGCCTCACAGTGCTTGTGTCCCTGTCTGTGTGTGCTGGAGGGGCTGGGCCCTGGCCTGCTTGTCCTGAAGCCTTAGGTCTTCCCCGGGCACTCAGCTTGGTGAATCATGTCCCACCCTGGTCCAAAGCGCAGAACAACATTCAGGCCTGACCTTTACCCCAGCCTTGGCCAGCCAGCCTGGCTCTGGCAGTCCCAATCACACACGGCCACACTGGCTGCTGGGGGTTGGGAGAGGCCACCAAGGCAAAGACAGATGAGTCTTCTCCAGGTCCCGACCCCCAGCACAGGACTCTGGGCCCACAGACACAGTGCAGCCCCTACCCCAGGCAGCTTGCTGGGCCTGCCCCTCCCCAGGCCCCGCCTCAAGGGATGGCAGCACAGACCCACCCAGCCTGAGGACAGGGCCAGGCAGGGCCTGGGCTCAGCTCCGGGGCCACGAGATACACCCAAGCTGAGCAGGTGCCTGCTTCCCTGCTGGGCATCCTGGGGCAAAGAGTGCAGTGTCTTTCCCAGCGTGGACAAGCCTGTCATGTGCACTCATCTGCAAGCCAGGGCAGGCTGGGCTGTGCCACTGGCGGCTGAGGGACAGACTGTCTGGATATCCCCAGGAACTGAGGATAGAAGTCCTCCTGGCCGAGGATGGGGAGACCTGGCTGGGGAAGCAGTCCAGGCAGCGGGCCAGGGAACCTCTGAAGCTGTTTTTCCAACACAGGCTGGAGCCACAGTTCACACAGCAGGAGCAGGACCCGGGACCTGGAATCCCCCCGAGGAGGGGCGCGGGGAGAGGCTGGTGGAGCTGCATGGCTCCTTCCGGGAGCTGCTCACCTTCTTCTGCACCAACGCCACCATCCACGGCGCCATCCGCCTTGTCTGCTCCAACCAGAACCGTCTCAAGACCACGTCCTGGGGGCTGC